AAAAAAACATTTCTATAGGTTGCAAAAATGAGGAAATATTAAAACGTCTTTGAGTGTTTTGTTGTGTATGAATGCATGCTACTTCAAACTGCCACAGTACACATACTTCACATTAGGTGTGCTGAAAAAGAAGGAGGAACTTTGGAAGAAATAGCCTTTTCTTTCAACTTATTTGGAATAATATTTCTATAGTTCTCAAAACTGGAGTTTCTGAGAATTTTCTTGACTTTGAACTCCAAATTGCTACAGTAAAATGTCTTTATACACTGATCAGGCATAACACTATGACCACCCTCCTAATATTGTGTTGGTCCCGCTTTTGCTGCCAAAACAGCCCTGACCCGTCGAGGCATGGACTCCACTAGACTCCTGAAGGTGTGCTGTGGTATCTGGCACCAAGATGTTAGCAGCAGATCCTTTAAAGGGTTAGTTCACCCAAAAATTTCAATTCTGTCATTAATTACTCACCCTCATGTTGTTCCAAACCCCTAAGTGTTCATCTTCGGAACACAAATTAAGATATTTTTGATGGAATCGGAGAGCTCTCTGACCCTCCATAGACAGCAAGGATATTACCACGATCAACGCACAGAAACGTAGCAAGGACATCGGTAAAATAGTCCATGTGACATCAGGAGTTCAACCGTAATTTAACGAAGCTACGAGAATACTTTTTGTGCGCAAAGAAAATAATAATAACATAATTTATTCAGCAATTCTTCTCCCCGAGTTACCGTCTTTCACCATTTTGGAGAGTTCCCCAGAACGTAATCAACGTAATGAGTGTTCAGTATGCGCGTGCTTTCGCTGAACGTAATCAGCGTTGTTTACGTTCAGTAGACCACGCGCGCATGCTGAACGTAAACAACGCTCATTACGTTTACCATCAAAAATATCTTAATTTGTCTTCCGAAGATGAACGAATGTCTTACGGGTTTGGAACAACATGAGGGCGAGTAATTAATGACAGAATTTTTAGTTTTTGGGTGAACTTTCCCTTTAAGCAACTGAACACCAGTGGGTGGGGCCTATGGTGAGAAGATGACTATTCGTCGATGTGTTGCACTGGAGGCGGTGTTTATGCAAATGTTTGTGCCTGGGTGACGTCATCTTGCACCTCAGATCCAAAACGAGCCGTATTTGGAGCTTGATTAAATAAATGCTTTGTTTATAATGAGGAGGATATTTGAAGCTATGAAACTTGCAAGATGTTTTAATGGTACAAAGACCTCTTATATGCCAAAAGATCAAGGCAAATTTGATTTCTTATGTCATGACCCCTTTAAGCTTCAAAATTCATAAAAGTTGTGTTCACTCGTGAAGACTAAGAAACAAACTTTTTCTTATTTTCTGTAATAATCTAAAAGGCAATGGAAAAATCCTATTGGCTTTCTTTCGAGGCATCAATTAATATCCATCACTTTATTGGTTAAAATGATTAGGACTTAGGAACATAAAGAGTTTTTTTTTTGACTTGAGGCAACATCTGCATTTATTCACTTGTTAGTCTTTAGTAGCCTTTGGCTTTCTTTCTTCTGTGGAATATCAAATATATTTTTACAACTGTAAAATATCTTATTTTGTGCTTCGCAGAAGAAACAAAGCCATACAGGTTTGGAATGACATTAGGGTGAGTAAATGATGGCTTTTTTTTTTTTTTGGATGAACTGTCTCTTTAAGACACAAATTACAATAGGCAAATGGGGCTTGGCATAATCTGCAAACCATGTTTTACACAACCAATGACCTGTAATATGGACAGTGCTTGTAGATAATGTAATGTACAGTCATCATTCAGGATTTCTCCATGAGCATACTAATGTAGTAACATCAGCTCCAGTGCTAGCCTTCACCAGCAGATGTCGTTGTGAGAGTGCAGGACAGATGAATGATTTTGCTCCAGGCTCTGTCTGTCTCACTTTCAGATATTCAGACAGACCCAACCTGTTCAGAGTGTCGCCCCACTGCACAGCGCTCTCCTTTTGACCTTCCACTGTCTGTCAAATCATATCTCATCACTTCTCAGACATGTCAGTTTAAGATGCAGCCTATCCGTCTGTTTTCTCACTGCCTCTGCACTTTGTAAACGAATGTAACAAATTATAAAAAATGAAATCTTTAAAAATAAAACGTGAACATTTTTATTGAATTACACAACTTGTTATACAATCTGTTTGTCAAAAATGTACTATAATACATTTTAAAAAACATTAAAGTAAATATTAAATGTAAAATTATACATTAAAAATTAGAAATGTAAAATGTATACATGTAAATATATTATGAACAACATTTTATTAATTTACTATATTACTATATTATTAAAATAAACAAAAACTTTAAAAAAAATCTGTCAAATTTATTATAGATAATAAATATTTTTTCTTATTTAAAATATATGATGTAAAAACGATATTAACATGACAAATGTAAAATTTCACACATAAAATACTATTCTTTATTTAAAAAATTACAATTCGTAAAATTTTATTAAATTAAATGTAACATTTTATTAAAATCTGCAACTTAAAAACTATTTATATATCAAAATGTATTATAAGAATAAATGTTTTAAATAATATTAAAATAAATCAAATGTAAAAAAATTATACATTAAAAATTAGAATGTCAAATTATACATGTAAATATAGAATTATACATTTAAATTTATATATA